TTCCTGAGTTCTGTGAGCCACTCTCACAAATTAATCAAACCTAAAGGGGGAGGCATGGGAACCTCCAGTCTGTAAGCAGTAGGTCGGAAGCACAGGAAATAATCTGGACTTGAGACGGCGTCTGAAGTGTGAGGCGCGGCCTCACAGGACTGAGCCCTTCACCTGTGGAGTCTGATAGCATCTCTGGGTAGATAGTATCACGGAATTGCTTGTTTGAGTGGTGAAACCATCCCTCCGCACACATTAGAATTAGTCCAGAACTTCTAAGATGGAAATCTTTTTAAAGTAAATCACTGTGCAGGCCTCCTGGGGGACTCAGTTGTCTAACTTTGGCTCAGGTCCTGGTCTCAGGGCCCTGGAATCAAGGCCCTGCCTTCACATCCTGCTCCTCGCTCAGCGGGAGGTCTGCTTGTCCCTTTCCCTCTGCCTCTGCTCTCTCTCTCTCTCTCTCTGTCAAATAAATAAAGTATTATTTATTTATTTATTTATTTTTTATTTTTTTTAAAGATTTTATTTATTTATTTGTCAGAGAGAGAGAGGGAGAGAGAGCAAGCACAGGCAGACAGAATGGCAGGCAGAGGCAGAGGGAGAAGCAGGCTCCCTGATGAGCAAGGAGCCCGATGCAGGACTCAATCCCAGGACGCTGGGATCATGACCTGAGCCGAAGGCAGCTGCCCAACCAACTGAGCCACCCAGGCGTCCCAATAAAATATTTTTTAAATAAATAAAGTAAATCGCCATGCAATCCCAGTAACACACACACACACACGCACACACACACACACACACACACACACACAGCTAAACGCACAAGGGCCAGAAATTCGGTCAAGGTCTTTTTGGCTAGGTCTCCTTAGGCCCCAACCTCTTTGCAGCAGGAAGAGGAGAGCAGGGATTCCTTTACACATTCTTCAAGCACAAAAACAGGACTGTGGCTTAAAATTGGACTTCATTTTTCTTGTGAGCCCCAGGCCTGCAATTTTTGTCTGTCCCACCAGAGAGCAACCTTTCTGCATTTATGCTCCTACTTGGCAAAGCCCCTGAGTCATCTCCGTAGGCTCGCCCATCCCCCAAGTCTGAGCAGAACCAACTCTTGAAGCTTTTATGACCCAAATACATGCCCCAGACTCTGCAAGTGTTACCCTACTTTAAAACCCTCTAGATAGATAGTTTTGAAAAGCCAACAAGAAGACTCACTGAAGGAAGGCTTGAGGCTCGGTTAAGTACATTCTTTGACCTCTAGCGATAAAACCTGACCCAAGGGACACTGAGTTGAGCTTTCTCTCCTCCCTCATCCCCTCGATGCAGCTGTGGGTCCAAAGTTGCCCCATGCGGGTTCTGGGAAGAGAGAACTTTTGCAGGGGTGAAGGACCTGTAGGAGGCCACCTCTGGCTCCATGATGCTGTCTCTACATTGCCTTGGGACAGTGGAGTATCAGTTTAAGGGGATGGCCAGGTTCCGCACTAGCTCCGCACTAGGCTGAACTAAGGAATCTGAGGATTTCTCAGGCTGTTCCTTTAGGATACAGAACACCCCTTGGGATCCCTGGTCTATGATAGTTGGCACATCAGATAAATAAAAGATACTCACACACCTCATTTCAGAGCCTTCCAGATTCTGTGGACTGCTAGACCAACCCTGCAAGGTCTAGTATGGGTTGCATGGCAGAGGAATCTGAAACAAATGTTTTCCCTTTAAAATAACTAAGATAGCCAGTTAACATTGAAGCTAGCAGCTCCCTTCCTGGTTTTTGCGGGAACTTCCCCAATCACACCCCATCCTGGCAAGACCAAGTTTTGTTCGCTTGTCCGCAGCCCTGCTACACAATAAACACTGTATATAGGTCACCCTCTCCTCCTGTGGCCTGTTACGGGACCCCTGCTCGACATTTGCAGACAGAGAAATGGTGCGGCTCTATGGATTTGTCCTCCTCTGGGGCTGGGTCCTTGGCACAGCCCTGCCTCCCACACCCACCTCCCGCCCCTCTCTAAGTAGAGTCAGATTCAGGGATTGACATCTCCTAGGCTCATCCTCGAAATACGGACAAGCCATTCAGGGTACGTTTTTCCTTTATCTGAAGTTAGTCTGTGAAAGACTGTGAGTACTAGAAACCATCTTCCAAATTTGTTCATTTATTTTTTTTAAAGATTTTATTTATTTATTTGACAGAGAGAGAAAGGTCACAAGTAGGCAGAGAGGCAGGCAGAAAGAGAGGGGGAAGCAGGCTCCCTCCTGAGCAGGGAGCCTGATGCAGGGCTTGATCCCAGGACCTGAGATCATGACCTGAGCTGAAGGCAGAGGCTTAACCCACTGAGCCACCCAGGTGCCCCTCGTTCATTTATTTTTAAATTACTAAATAAATCTTCCAATACCAATTATTTGAAACACTGACTAAGGTACTTTTGGGAAAATCAATATATGTACAAAATAAAGATGCTTCTATTGATATATGATACGTATATGTATGCATATCATGTAGGCATGTATGATGTAGCTGGAAGAGTCAAGGAAGAGAACCACTCCCCTCCCCTGCCAAGCAGCAAAACAAATACAACACTCTGGGTCATATTTGAAAATCCTTTATTGTTGGGGAGTAGAGAGAGACGTCATATTTTTGATGGAGGACATTCCAGAAACCCCAGGGGAATCTATAGTCAATGCCCACAGGGACTGAGGGTGCTCAGTCTGTGGTTTCTACATCACTGTGGGGGTAGAGGGATGGGGAAGGAGTCCAAATGCAGGGGTGTTACAAGGCTGGAGAAAAGAAAGGGAAATCGGAGCACGTGCAGGTGGGGGTTGGGAGGGGGTGACAGGTGTCTTCATGTTGCAGCCCAGGGGTCCAGAAGTGGAGTGCTGGGGACATGAAAATATGAAATCACATCTTCTGTCTCGTAAAACTCACACCGGCCACAGCTGGGGAAGTAGGGATGTGTGGGTGGGTGGGGAGTATGTAAGGGAGGAAGAGAGAGAATAGAAGTTTTAGCCCTCAGCTGTCTGTGTAGCCTTTGAACTAGAGGACCAAATCCTTCTAGCCACAGGAGCGTGCCCCTTTCTGGTCGCATGTTTACCATGCTACTTGCAAACACCTGCAGGACGGTGTAGTGACAGGGTCCCTATCTGTCGCCCTCGCATCCCCATGATTCAGGCCCACACAAAGCCCCATTCATTGTGTCCCGATGCTAATGCTCCCCCAGGTTCACCCATGCCCTCCTCCTCTTTCTAGAAACCTCCCAGAGGAAGCTCAGGCCCAGGGATAACGTCCTTTGTCAACAGATTCACATGAATGAAATAAGATGACCCAATGAACTGTGTTGATCCATCTCAGCTAATCTCCTTTAAATGCCAGCCCCCAGGGACTTTATGTGCTGTTCTTCCTGGCTCCTAACAGGTTGAATGCTCCATCAGTGGTGAGATGACGAAGGCTACAATTATGCGACTGGCCCTTCTGAAAGAGCCTGGATTCACCGGCGAACATTAAAAGTAGATTTCCACAATGCACTTGTTTCCACCATTTCTATAAAATACTATGGCAAAATTGCACTGTAATTATCTTTATGGCCGATGCATAGCGCTGGGAGAAAGTATGTCATCCAGATAGAGCTGCCTGTATAATTATCTGGCGGTCGGCAGGACTGAAATAACCATCTAATGAGAGCAAAATGATACGGTAAGGACCATGTAATCAGCGAGTTACGGTCATTACGGCTCTTTGTGCCCTCTCACCCAGCACTGAATGGGGGGCTAGACCTAGTCTCCGGGCCCAAGGAGCCCTGCACAGGCAGCTTCATCAAGAGCCATCGAGAGCTCTTGCTCCTTTGGTCTCCCCTGAGAGCAATGACCGTGGGTAACAGAGACACAGGGCGAGGGGCAGGAGTCTCTCTGTGGGAACATAGGCTTTCCAATCCCACTCTTTTTCTCCCCCCACACCTTCTTTCTTCAGAAGGTAGTGCAAAGAAAGCCATCCCTCAGGCTGCTATTGCTATGTGGGGGAAGATGGGGTTGAGAAGGAAATTTCCATGTTTTGACTAGACACTCCCCTGGGGACTCTCATGCTCACATAGCAAGTGAGAGATCTGTCAGCCCACTCAAACCCAGGGTCCAGCCCAGACAGCTCTAGAGCAGATAGACCAGAGTCAGCCAGGAGGGACACTGGGACATGACCCATACCTCCCAGACCACAATCATCATAACACACGACACTGTGTACGCTGTGCCAGGCACTGTTCCGAACACTTTACCTATGCCCAATCCTCAAAACCACAACCCTGCAAAATAATATTATCACCCCCGTTTTTCAGATGAGGAAACTGAGGCACAGAACAGTTATGTAACTTCGACAAGGGAACACAGCCAGTGAGCTACAGATCCAGGAGTCAAACGCAGGCTGTGCTCTTAACCATTACACCACATAGAGCAACTCAGATACGGTTTCTCGTTACTCCCCCTAAAATTTCAGAGTTCGTTGCATTTCTTCCTAAATCACCCTTGTGAAGAATTACACAGCAGACCCCGTCAAGATCTGAATGGCTTGTGCCTACCTAGGAGGCAGAACACTTCACCCGGGAGTTGGCTGTGGTGCCTGCAATTATCAGATGACGGTCTCTCCGTCGTGTATACAGATAATGAGAGAACAGAACCCAAACAACCGAAGTTGACCATCGGAGAAGCCACAAGGAAAACCTCTCGCTCCCCATGTCCCACGACTCACGCCTGCTCGAGCGTCAGCCAGGGTCCATGATACTGGGGCAAGAGAGGGCAAGTGGGGCAGGTGTGCATGCACGTGTGTGCGTGTGTGTGTACATGTTCTTCAGACGAGCATGCCCCCCGAGGGACAGTGTGTTTGACAGTGTGCTGGGCACTAACAGTGCATTTTAGGGCAAAATTATGAGTATTAATGCCTGTTGCGTCAGAGGAAATGCCTCTCTGGCAAACCCCCCAACCCCCCCCCCCCACACACACACACAGAGTCCCCTCTCCTCTCCTGACCAACAATCCTTACCTCATTCCACACTGGGGGGATACTTGAGGGTGCCAAAGCTGGGAACATTCTCTTGGTTTACATCAGTAGAAGTGTCTGGGTTAAAGTAAATAGTGTAGTTAGGAGGGATTTTTCTGAATGTGACCTTCACCCAGACACAAAAACAAAGCGCTAGCCACTAAGGGTAGTGTTGGAAGATAGAGTTGGAAAGAAGAAGTACACTGTGTTTGGAAGATGGGGAGGAAGGACAGCCCCCCCTCCAACTCCTTCCCAGCTGCAGCAGGACTAGCTTATAAAGGTCTCCCCACTGTGTTCCCAGGGAGATCTGGACTGTGTATCCAACCTGATTGGGTAGAAGGGCCAAGGAACCCTCACTATAGCTAAGAGAAATCCTGTCTTTCCCTCAGGTGACATAAATATGAGGCCCTTGACTTTTGCCATATCTTTACTAGTACCCTAAGCCCTCCCACTGTAGCTCCACCCACACCTACCTGGCTGGATGTTCCTCTTGCCCATAAGTCCCACAAAGAAGTCATGCATGTCACCTGTAGAGAAAGGGCCAACATTGCCAACAGTGATCATGTGGTAAGTGGGGAATGGGGATGCGTTCCCCCAGACATGTATCAAGACTTCTGCAATTGGGTTTCTGGTCTTTGGTTCTTTATCATGCCACAGCATGAATCCCTCATTATCAGGGTATCCCCTAAGCACCCTCTCTGCCCACCTCTCCCTCCTCCACATTTCAAGAATTCTCTGCCCCCACAGATGCCTGGTTTAGAGTCTTCACAGCCACCACGAGATTCTCTTGGTGCCCAATGACCAGCTGATGGAGGGAGAGTCCATCACTCTCCTCACACCTGTTTCCTCCGGCTCCCAGTGACCTCTCACACCCAGGAAAGGCTGGTCGAGCAGTTCCAGCCATCATATTGTTTGGGCCAGCTGAGATGGGGCCAGCCAGAGTAGTCACTGGGACCCATGCCCATGGAGCTGTAGCAAGCGGTCAGCAGACAGGGAGGGAGAAGACACTACTCACGTTTCTGGGGAAGTGACGATTCCTTAGGGTCTGTGAAAGCAAGAACAGTGAGTTGGTGGGGAATGGAATCTGGAAAGTGACAGAGAGGGTTCAGAGCACAACCCTCAATTACTCGTCAAGCTATCTCCAGTCTCCGTCCCACCCGAAGTCTCCTCCCAAGCCTCCTTAATCATCAGAATCCTGCCCCCCAACCCCCTCTCCCCAGGGCTGCTTCCTACCCACGCTAGCCTTGCTAAGCATTTTGAGCAATCCATCCAGAGAGACAGAGCGGCTGTCATAGAGTTTCCGGAGCAAGGACGAAGGCAAGTGGTAGAGGTCCAAGTCCTTCTAAGAGACAGAAACAAAGAGGGCTGAGGCAGGAGGCTTGCACTTAATCCACTCGCCCCTCCCCACAAAGGACAGCCTTTTCCTGAGACCATCGCAGCTGAACCTGACATCCTGTAACTTTCAGAATTTCTTCTGGCTTACACTGGAAGAGAAGTGGGCTCTGAAAGTGTGGTCCACGGACCAGGATCATTACTACTGTAGGCTTGTTAGAAATACAGTATCTCAGGGCGCCTGGGTGGCTCAGTCAGTGGAGTGTCTGATTTCAGCTCAGGCCGTGATCCCAGCATCCTGGGATGGAGTTCCACATCAGGCTCCAGGGAGTCTGCTCCTTCCTTGCCCTCTACCTCTACCCCTGCTCATGCTCTATCTCACTCTCAAATAAATGGAATCTTTAAAAAAATATTAAAAAAAAAAAAAGAAATACATCATCTCAATCTTGGTCCTACCCCAGACCCACTTCGACAACCTGCATTGTAACCAGGGCCCCAGGTGACAGGTGTGACCAGCAAGATTTGAGAAGCCCTGGAGAAAGGAGCGCATTGGGCATCCCCAGAGGCAGACCAGCTGTCCCGGTTTGCATGGGACTGAGAGCTTTCCTGGGATGCGGCGACTTTAGTGCTTAAGCTGGTGGTCTGGGAACACTGGGACAGTTGGTCACACTCTATCTCCCAAGCTCAAAAGGGACTGTCTCTTGGGGCTCTCTCCCAACTACCACCGCATCTCAGTGAGAAGGGCCATTAGCTCTCTTCTCCTTGGCACATCGGGAACCAGTTTGCTCCAGGATATCGTTGCCCCACTGTGTGAGTGAGCCATGAATGCCAAGAAAGCCCTGTCAGACAGAGCAGGTGTCCTCTGTACTCCACGATGGAGTCACAGACAGGACTCAGTCCCTGGGATGGGTGTAGGTAGGCAGCCAGCACCCAGCTGTGATCCTGAAATCCCCCCCACCCTGCGCTGTGTTCGCGGTGCATGCTTCTCTGGCTAAGCTTCTCACCACCTCTCACTCTCTTTTCTTCTCCATAGGTTTCTGCCTCTGACTGTCCCTCCGTCTCTTTCTTTCTTTCTTTTTTAAAAGATTTTATTTTTTTGACAGAGAGAGAGATCACAAGTAGGCAGAGAGGCAGGCAGAGGGGGAGGGGGGAAGCAGGCTCCCTGCTGAGCAGAGAGCCCGATGTGCTGCAGCTTGATCCCAGGACCCTGGGATCATGACCCGAGACAAAGGCAGAAGCTTTAACCCACTGAGCCACTCAGGCTCCCCCCCTCCATCGCTTTCTACACAGAATTTGGAATTTCTGGAAGTCTATGTGTTTGGAATGACTCTTCTCCTCCTCCACAAATGAACCCCATTCCGGATCTGCTGCCAGGCAGAGGCTCCTCATTGCCTTGATGATTTTTTTTTTAGCAACCTGGACACAGCTGGATGGTTGGTGGGCACACACCACACAGCCAGTTAATTACAGCTGCAGAGAAACAGTGACCGTGATCATGTCTGGAGATTCTCACCTTGAGTCTCAGCGGTGCCTCTCTCCCTCTCGAGCCCAGATGTCCTTGGGTTGCTGAGCACGCAAGTAGCACATTTACATGGAATGTACCCTTGTGCATACCAACACGCTTGCCTAGGCACACACAGATCCTACCCTGCCTCACCCCAACTTCCCTTGTCCTCTCAGACCGTCGGAGAGAAGGTGGAATGGCAATCTCTCCCTGTCATTGACCAAGAGGAAAAGACCTTGAAGCAACTTTGTCTTAGAAAAATATATGCAGATATTCTATCTCCAGCTGGAACTTTGGGCTCCAAACATAAAGGCCAGCCCATATTTGGCACTCCTTATGTGCTTTTTAAAAGACTTTATTTTTGAGTAATCTCTATACTCAATGTGGGGCTTGAACTCACAATCCCGAGATCAAGAGTAGTGTGTTCTACTGACTGAGACAGCTGGGCACCTGTATTTTTTAAAAGATTTCATTTACTTATTTGCCAGAGAGAGAGTACACTGGAAGAGGGAGAAGCAGGCTCCCCACTGTGCAAGGAGCCCAATGAGGGACTCGATCTAGGACCCCTGGCATCATGACCTGAGATAAAGGCAGACACTTAATCAACTGAGCCACCCAGGCGTGCCTGTCTTTTGTATTTTTGAATTGGTTCTGATCTTTTGGATCTGGTGCAGCAGCCACCACCTGCAAGGTTACCAGCCTATTGTGCCCTGGGACACGTACAGATGAAGACTGATTTCTCTCTCTGCCCAGCACACGGCTTCCTAGGCAGCCACTTTTCCCAGATTGTTCAAATATTCTGCCCACCTCCTGTAATGAGATGCTAAACAGATCTGAGCTGGAGAGGCAGTTAGACTTCACACGCTGAATTTGTAATAAGTTCCATCTATAATCATCTTAAAAGCATGTGTATCAATGTAATTGCTATCATTTCAAAACCTTGAAAAGACTTCCTCCCTGCTCTCTGCCTGTACCCCTTAACTGTCAACTCCTGTTCTCTTTCTCAGAGAAACTTTGGAAATCAGGCCCAAGTCTGTGTTGTAGGGATTTTGCCCTCTATCCCAAGCAGAGGCTAGAGTGGGGGCAAGAGAAAGGAAAGAAGGCATTGGGGAGTCTTGGGAGCACCTGACATCACTGGGGGTGGATGAGCAGGGAATAATGGAATTTATTTGGATTTTGGAAACAAAATGATATACATAGCTGATAGGTAAAATGGCTTAAAAATGCCCATTTGGGAGAGAATTTCTGACTATGTGTCCTCCCATCCAGGGAGTGGACAGTATCTGCCCCCTGCAAAGGACAGAAACTGAGCGAGACCACCCTAGCTTACCCCCCTCCCCGGGATCCAACCCCCAGGTTTCCAGTAAATCAACCAACCGCACAACATACTAGTAGGGCACTTTTTAGGTACAGGGTTATCAAAGACACACAGAGGGACTGAGACCCCCCCCCTTGTCCACATAGCTAGAGACAGTGAGAACATGACACCCCCCGAGAGGCAGGCAGGGAAACCCACCCTCTGGTGCGTCACCCAGGTAGCTCCCAATCTCACCCATCCCACCTTCCTCTCAACAGCTGTGGAACAGGCAGAGTGTGGGCTCTCGTGATGTCGGTCCGAGCTCCGCCGGGGCGGGCACAGCTAGAGGGGGTGTCTTACCTTGTTGTGCCCCCCAGCAGGCACCACCTGCTCCAGTGAGTCCTCACAGACAGCCCCCAGACTGTCAGCCAGGCTGATGGCCAGAATGGCTGCAAACAGTAGGGCCCTCCGCATGGTGCCTAAGAGGACAGAGAGACAGTACAGGAATGGGGGAACAGAGGGAGGATACAGTATATGTGCAGGTGCAGGAGACATTCTGAGACAATCTGTCTTGATCCTGCTTCCCCAGCCTCCAATTCTCCCATCTAAGCCCTGGTCCAGGGAGAGTATCTCTGAGCAGGATGGCCAGCCCTTGGGCTCGGTGTCCCTGCTCCCCCATCACACATCTCCCCACACTGAGCACCTGGCAATGAGCCGTGTTGCAATAGTCCCCCAAGGAAGATGATAGATTCGTAGCACATGCACAGGTCTGCCTTCTTAGTCAGCTTAAGGAGGGATCCTGGATTCTAGTTTCTAGCACCAGATAACCCAAGACTTAGGCAAAACTTTCTAGTATTAGAAGAATCAGTCTGAACCCACAGGCTCCAAACATTACTCGTTCTCAACCCATATCAGCGCTTTCTGCTTCCCTTCCCTGTACCCAGTGCCGAGATCATAAGCTGCCACCTCTATTGCCTCCTAACCCTGGCCTCTGTCCTTTGGTACCAGCTCCAGTCCCTCCAACATTCTCCCACTCGTGCCTACCTGTGGAACAGCTTTGAGCCTGGGGCAGGCGGTCTAAGAGGATCAGGGAGCTGGCCAGGAGCACTGCCCACTCCCCTAACACACACACACACACACACACACACACACACACACACACACGCTGGTGGTATCGCTGCCTCCGTGAAGAGAGAAGCTGGGAGTGGAGGGGATCTGAAGATGTGGCAGCAACTCCTGCCCAGCTCACAGATAAAGGCTCTGGGAGGGTCTGGGGGAGCCGGGGGAGGGGCTGCGAATCACCAATCCCAGGGTGGCTGGAGGGGAGGGGGGAGGCTGGTGGAGAAAAAGGAGGCTATAGGCTGCAGGCAAACACACACACACACACACACACACACACACACACGCACACGCACACGCACACGCACACACAGGCCCTGCAGTGTGCTCACTTTCCAACAGCTCCGGAGCTGGGCGCACTAAGGAATGATGTCGTGTATGTTTTGTACCAAAATGTCCATGCTGGTTATAGCTCAGTAGGTGTGGTCCCGGAGTCTCGTTCTCCTCATTGTTCACCCACCAGCTCCTTGCCCTTTAAACCTTCAGGCTCAATTGCCAGACCAGAAGCATTTCAGGCAGGTGCTTCTCTGGCCCTCCACACCCCTGGGACAACCAGACACAGGCCCCTGAGCACTGGGAGGTGAGTCTGGCATCCCTTCCCATCCTCATTTCTCCCTCTGTCCTCCTTCCAGCTGCAGCTGACCCATCACTTGCTGAGGACCAAGTGATGGGTCAGCGCTTCTCCCCTGCTGTATAATGCAGAAACTTCCAGTGTCTGCCTCCCTCTTCACCAGGGCAAATGCTTCTCCCTACACCACTCCCTCTCCAGCCCGTAATCAGCCTGATTTTGTTGCATTCTTCCAGAGTTCTAACTTCTATTCCTCTTGCTAGAATCTCAGGAAGGAGGAAAAGAACACTGTGGCCGAGCTGTCACCACCACCACCCCCCCCATTCCTCTCCCTGGCCCGGCCGTGCCCAGTCCGGCCCATCCCAGCTCAGCATTGATCTCTTAACTGCTTCTTTTTTCTCACAGTTACATGTTTCCCCCTCTCTGATCGGCCTCCCTGCAGCCAGGCATCTTCTCCCTGGACATTTCAAGCCTCTCCTTCCTTTCCCACTCTGTTGAAGGAGCTCGTGCTGCTCATTTCATACCTGAGGTGGAGCCCCAGGGGAGAGTCAGAGTCAGAACTGGGCTGGGATGGAAGGAGAACTGGAAAGAGAAGATGCTGCTCAAGGGAACCAGGCGGGGGTGGGGTGGGGGGACAGCAGAGTGAAAGCAGCTTCAGAGCCATTGTCACTCTTAGCATTTCCTATTTTTCAGGGGAGGAAACTGAGGCTCAAAAAGTTCAGTCCTGGGGCACCTGGCTGGCTCAATCGGGAGAACAGATGACTCTTGATCTCGGGGTCTTGAGTTCGATCCCCACTTTGGGTGTAGAGATTACTTAAAAGTAAAAATAAAAAAATCTTTAAAAAGAAAGTCAGTCCCGTGCTCCAGGACATACAGTTACCAGAGAAGAGCCATAAATTCAGGTTTTGTTTGTGTGTTTTTCACTCCAAACCTCCCCTTTGTTTTACTGCACTGGTACGAACTTTGACCAGTAAGGGAGCCATTAATTCTCCCAGAGGGAGTGGTGCTCCCCCTCTCTGAAAGACCTGGAGATTTGGGACCTTGCTCTCTTCTTCTGGGGCAGTGAGGAGAACTACAGCCGTTGTGTATTTACTCCAAAGATGCTCCGCTCACCAACGTCTTCCCCAGTCACTCTACTTCAAACGACCGCCCTTTCACACTCCATATCCCCCTTCTGTTTCTTCTCTTCATCATTAATTACACCCCATATGCTAAATGCTTCACTTACAGCCTGTCTACCCCACCAGAATGTCCGTGTTCCATTGGCAAGGACTTTTGTCTGTTCTCTTTACTACTGGATCCTTAGCTCTATAGTGTTTGGCATATAATAAGTGCTCTATAAAAATTTACTCAGAAAACAGAAAAGGAAGCCTGAGCCTCCTTCTTGACTGCAGCCCACAGTGTGGATCCTCCGCAGAGTTTCTCAGTGCTGCTAGTGCTGAGATGCTAGCCTCCCTACTCCACACTCCCAATAGCCACCCACCCTGGGACTCGGGCCACACTGACAGAAGTCTCTCTGCCAGCACATGACCCCACGCTCACCCCTGGTGAGGGCAGCAGCTGGGTCTCAAGGCCCCTTTATAATGTGAGAGGCTAGTGGGGCCTCATTTAAAGCTTCCCATTATCCAGGTAATTACAGCGCTGTATGGGCCAACCATGGGCCGGCACCCAGGCTTAGGAGCCTTCGGTGGGATGAGGGGTAGAAGCTGGAGCCTGTTTACATGTAAATGTCATGGCGGGTTCATGCCTTGGAGAAGCTCAGGTGCTGATTCTAATTGCAGCCATCCCCTACCTTTTCTCCTCCCCATACCAGTCTGGAGAAGGGAGTCCAGGCTAGGCAGGCTGGAGGGAACCGGGGTGGTGTGAGATGGGGTGGAGAGCAGTAGGAGGCGTGTTAGACTGAGGGCTGAGAACTAAAGGCTCCTGGGTCCCATCTCTGAGGCAGCCTCTCTCCAACCGCCCACCCCTCCATCCCTGCCTCCGCACCCTGGCAAGCAGGGAAGCAGGGCTTCTGCAAAGGTCCACCATGAATAATGTCCTTTGATGATGCAGCCTCTCACAGAGGATGGCAGGAGCCGAGGACGGGGGAAGCAAGGGCATGGCAGGGAGAACTGGAGAATTGATCTCCTCTTGATCTCTGGGATGAGCAGAGACTTGAAAGAGCTGATGCTAAATGAAGCCAGAAAGGTGAGGAAGGAGGGAGGCTTTGAAGGGCTGGGGCAGGCAAGGCTTCATGTTGCCCCCACACGCCATGTGCAAATGCCCTGTGGAGTGCGTGTTGTAGCTCCCGAGCCCCTAGGTGGTTTTCCCTTACACACTTTTCACTGGAGCCACATCTTGGACAGCCATCGTCAGCCTAGAGGAGTAGGGTCCCTAGCAGATCCTCCCACTGGAGCTCTCCCTCTTCGTTGCCGGGGTGGTTTGGAGATGAGGCCAGGACAGTATGTGTTCTGTGGAGCCGAGATGGTGTTTGGTAGAAGAGGAGACCTATGAGCGTGCATTGTGATGCACGATGACCGACATATGTCCGCCACATGCAGGGCTCGGGTGCAACATGGCAACTCCCCCAGCCTCCCGGAGGGGTGGTGCAGGGTGGCGAGGGAGAGCCCAGACCCTAGGCGGAGATACCAGAAAAGAACAGGAGGATGGCAGCTTCTGTGTCCTGCCAAGTCCTGCAGCCTGGCGACAGCTGGCGGATGGCCCTCAGCAAGGAACTGGAGGGGATGGGCTGAGCCAGGAACGCGGCGCCAGAGCTGCTGTGAGCTGAGGTGCTCGGATGGCTCCTCACGGGGCCTAGGGGCCTCCAGGCCCGAGCCCTCAGAGAAACCACCCAGACTTCGAGAATGCTGGACTGGCCGAGCAGGAAGACAGCAGAACGGCAGCTTCTCCCGGCACGGTGGAGCCAGTTCAAGCTCTATTGCACAGGCGGGACAACAGAGCCCCCCTAGAGGCTTCGGGGGATGAAAACCCACACTCCTTGGCCCCAGAAGAGAGGCAGAGATGGGAAGCAGGGGAGGGAGGGATGGGAGAATAAAGGAGATGAGTCCGCACCCTTCCTCAGACTAGCATCAGTCCACATGAGAGCTGGAGGGAGGACAGGAGGATGACAGGGACTGGAGCCTTTCCCCCCCTCCACCTCTCCCTAGTCCAGAGAGCAGACAGTGCCTTCAGCCCTGGGGAAGGAAAGCAGGATGGGGAGCAGCAGCTGCATATTCTCCTGAAATTGCTTCTGAAAACGACCAGACACTTCACTGGGAAAGTGACGACAATTTGGGCCCTGGGAGCAGGAGATGAGGCGGAGAGCGGGGGCGGCCAGGCTCTGGTAACCAGCCCCCTCTCGCCAGACACAATCTCCTCCTTGGCCTGATTCTGAGAAGTCAAGGATGGGGTGAGCTGGGGCGGCGGGGGCGGGGTGTGGGCAGCGGGAGGCTGACTAGGATCCTGAGCTCCCCTCTCTCAGGACACAGCCCCCCATGTGCCCAGGAAAAGCAGACTCCCTGTGCCCTCTCCCAGCCCAGAGCGGGGTGTGCCAGAACAGGACTGATGCTCAGAGAGCGAGATTAATCCACAGGCAAGAAGAGAAGTTAATCAGGGCTCCCGCAGGCATGATTACCTGGGGCCGTGAGCCGCCTGCTGATGATGGAAGCTCTGGAAAATCGAGGTAGAGGGAATCCCCAGCCTCAAGGCACAGGGGAGCTCAGTGGTGGAGACAGGCAAGAGGCAAGGAAGGTAGGGATGGCGAAATGAGGGAGAGACATCCAGAGACAGGAACAAAGGCGGCCATCTGCACATTCTCACAGAGCACACATCTACATTTTATGGCAAACACAGGAGCTGCTTGTTCCCTAAAGGTAGAGACGGGGGTGGGAGAGGCTGAGACGAGCAGAGTCTATAAGGAAACAGATATTAAGGGAAAGGGGAGATATTCAGAGCATTATACAAAATATTACATACTGATTCTAGTGAGAGCCCATAGAAAAGGGGACGAGATGGTGCGAGACAGTTGAAAATTAAGAAAAAAATAATGGCAGTGACCCAAGGGAAATAAATGAAGCGGGGGCAGTCCTAGGGGTGGGAGAGTCTGGGACCCGGAGCCTCCCCACCCCCGAAAGTGCTACCAGCTGCAGGCCCCAGCTGCTGGGCAGTGATTAGCAAGAAAACTGTTGGCAGAAGCCTAGCATCTCTGGTGTACAGAAAGGAAGAGGATGCTGGGGGGCTCATGTGGCAGAGCCCAGTGATGAGCTGGGGGATGGAGGGGGCAACTCCTGGGTGTAGGGGACCCTGCATTCCCAAGCTCACCTCAGCTCCCATGAGCCCTCCAGCCTTGGGCCTCTTTTCAGGCTAAATCTCCAAAGGATCCTAGTTTCCGACAAGACAGGGATCCTCACTTCTTCCCTCCAGGGACACACTTAATGAATCAGCCCGATGGCCACCTGGGACCTGA